AGCAGATCCCGACACTAAACACTATAAACACACCAATTTACTCATAATCACTTAAAACCAAGCGAAGATCACAATGGAAAAGATCAAACCCGAAACAAATGAACAAATCATAAGGCATTCCACAAACAGATCACACCTCCAGATACAAACAGAGGCTGCGATTTATGAAAATGGACGCCTCGAACGGGGCCATCGTGCTCGTCAAACCGATCAATGAGAGTGCCCATGCGATAATCCCAGAGCTGGATCACGCCACTGTGGAGACTCGCCAGGATCCATGGCCTCTTGCTATGGAAACTCAGTCCTTTCACTCGATTACTCTTCGTCTCAAACTTCGTCAACATTTCCTATAACTCTTCTCCTCTAATCACACACACTGTAAAAGATAACCAAAACGTGAGATCCACACTGAATACCAAACAAAAAGAAGCTCGAAACCCCAATCAATATCTTTGATCTTCACCTGGTTTGGATCTGTTTAAGAATTTGGGGAATTTTCAAGCTAGGATGCGGTGTTTAAGGAGGTGATTGTGTTAATTCGTGAGGAAGAAGAAAAATTCCGTGTCTCTCTTCTGTTCTTGCTGTGGATCTACTCCACACGAAGGTGTATTTGGACTTCGGTAAAATTTTAGTTCATTTATATAGGGATGACATTTTGCTTGTAATCCCCCTTCCCCTTATATATTTTAATTCAGAACGCGCTGAGCCTATGTGGCAGGCTCGCAGCTTTGGGATCCTATGTGCCAAAATTATATGCTTCGTTATTAGGTTCGAATTATCTATAAATATGTTGATTATTTATTATAGGGGCGCGGTCCAGGACGGTCCTGGATTTGACTTGTCCGGATACTGATCCCATTTTTATGAATCAATTATGAACGGTCCGGGATGAGACACTGTCCCCACCCATGTAATACATGGGTGTTGTACTAATTTTATTTACTTAAAAAACTAGTGCGTGCGTATTATAAATTAAATATATAAATAACATTAATCATAATTTATTCATTAATTTTAAATTAAACCGGACTGGACACAGTCCGACCAAATGCACCGAAAATCGATTTATAACCAGTCTAGTTCTCTTGAATAAAATATTTGCTCTTGAATCCGTCAATACCAGTCGGTTGGACTGGTATGATCGATACGACTTTTTAAATAAATTTTGTTATATTTAAAATTATTTTAAATAAAATTACATATTTAAATAAAATAGAGATTTATAAATTATTATCAATTAGTTTAAAAATTTGAATTTATAAATTGTTTAGATATCTAAGTAACACATTTTATTTAAATTTATTACGAAAAGTAATATATATATATATATATATTAAAATGTTTATAAATTAAAATATGCACAAACCACAAATCATTTAATAAAATAGCTTGATCTTTTCGATGATGTCCAGTTAAGAAACCTTATATTTACTGTACATTAATAAATATTATAATAAAATATTATTTAATTCACAAAAATATTAATAAAATGATGTATAAGTATTCATAAATCATTAAACATGTTGTTATAAAAGAATTGTTAGTACGATTTGAAGTTTGGGCTACATCACATTCACGTAATAAAATATTTTCAATATAAAATTTATATTTAGGTTCAATAATCGATTTGGTGTGGTTGAACTGATACATAACTTAGTCACCTCGGACCAACCAAGTTGTGTCAAATTTTTTGAATATATTATATATCACCTAAAAGTAATTCCATCAACCTGGGCAATACCTTAATTCAAGCACTCGATTGATCCGAAGAAATTTTCTTATTTTCTTTAAATATATTTAATTTTGTGAAATAAAAATATTTTATGATTCATATAATAAATATCTACACCAAATGATAGTATATTAAGAATATAAATTATATATCTAAATATGAATTAATTATTTTTACTTTATGCATATTAATAAAAAATAAACATAGTAATTTTTAAAAAATTAAGATTAATTGATTGATTATGCAATTTAAGAATATTTTTAGCATTCAATATTTTTTTAAAGGCACAAATATAAAGACCGAGATTTTAAAAGTTTTGTTATAATTTGAATTAAGATTTTATAAATATAGAGACCGAGATTAATGTTGTTCGTTGTTTCTAAGAAAAAAATAAAAATAAAAACATACACACTTAATAAATCTTAGCTGGATTTTTTAAATAATAAAATGAATTAAATCCCGAAATTTAAGGTAGCATTTAATGTTGTATGATTTTTAAAGAAAAAAATAAGAAAATTAATAAAACTTACTATTTATAGGCTGAATTAAATTATGATCTATTTTTGTTACTATTTTTGGTAAATGGTAATTCTTATTATATATATATAGATTTGTAGTGCAAATGCACAGGTTAATTACTAGTATATATATAATTGCTGACAGAGCAATAAATATACAAACGTTACATTTTACATTAATAAAGTATAATAACAATTTTAAACTAATTTATATATAATATTACTACTAACACTAACTGATTATAATTTTACATTAAATAGTATGTGGAAGTTATATACTTATATAACATTGTATTGCAATTTTTTTCTTTAAAATACTTTTTTTAAAATAAAATATTTTTTGTCTTTTTAAGTGACTTTTTTCTAATATTTAATTGGCATGACTGTCATAATTAAACACCTTAAAATCATATAAACAATTGCTATAACAATAATAAAAATAATTGCAATACTTTTCTAACTAATTAATTGTATGGTCCCTCTAAATTACTAAAATTATATTGTCCATTAAAATTTATGGCATCAACTTAAAGATTCGTATGCAAGTTAAATAATTTATATTTACATTACACATTTGCATGTAGTCAAAATGTAAAATGTTATACATCCATTACCTAATATAAAATTTTATATATTGTATACATACATATAATATATATAATTTATTTTTTTCTTTGTGCACGTGCACAGGATGAATATTAGTATATGTGAATTTTGACTTGATTTGTATGAATAGTATATTACTAGTGCTTTGATAAAATTAATGATTTAGTTGAAATAAAGTTTCCATTTATTGAAAAACTATTTAGCATAGTTCTGAAAAACGAATCGGATCAGTCGGTTCGACAGGGAAGCGGCCTTCATTTCGGTTCTATTTGTTGCATAAAACCACCATGCATGAGAGCCGTTCAAGAACAGTTCAAACCGGATGAACCCGTAAATCGGGACCAGTTTAAATGGTTCAACAGTTTCAATTTTTAAACTTGTGAATGGTTGATTGTGAAGTCATTTAAATAGCATACATATTTTACTTGTGTTTTCAATGTAAAATATATTCACAAATAAAGGGTTGGGTCTTACAAGAAAAACTCATTAATAGAAAAATGTACTATTTTTTGAATTGGATTGTATACATTGGGCTCTATCTATTCCCAATTTATTGAAGAAGAAAGCAACAGTTTATTGTTATTTGTTATGCACATAACTTTTATTTTTTAATCAATAATAAAAAAACCAAAAATTTGATTTAAAAATAATTATAGGATTGTTTCTATTCTCTCTATTTTGTAATTTAAATATAGATTAAAATTTAAAATATAAAAATAAAATAAAATAGGTTATCAACATTATCCAATACAGTGGGTTGTGTCAATTATTGAATTCTTATTTAGAGAAATGTCATACACTAAATAATTAATGATAAAAATATATATAACTATACATTAAAAATATAAAAAAATTAAAAAATTGTATATTAAATAAACCGGTCCGACCAGTGAATAACTAGACCCATAGATTCACCGGTTCGATTTTCAGAACCATAGTATTTAGACATACTAGTGTGTAGCCCGTGCTATGCACGGGTAAATAATACTAATAATCCTAACCTTCAAGGAGTAGGTTCCCCGCCTCCGGTTCTGGGAGTTTGGTTAGAGCATGATATTATTGGAGTGACGTATCCCGTCGAGTCCTAATATAGGCTTATGGCCTCTTTCATTGTACCAAAAATAATAATAATAATACTAATATTAACTATAAACTAAATATTAGGATAAGCAATATTAACTATAATTATAAATTAAAGATGTGGGGTTACATGTGATAAAATTTACTTTATATAGTCTATTGTAACAATATAAAATTATCTTATATAAAGAACATAAAAAATTTATGTCTAAAATATTAAAATTGAGAGAAGATTTACATATTATATATGAAATAAATATTGAGATGATACCGAAAATTATTTCGTCATTAATTTGAGTATAAAATAAACGGAGGCTTAATAACTCCATGCTTTATGCATATGCTTCATTTATCAATTTTATATAATAATTTTAAAATCTCATTATCAAAATTTGTATTCAAATGTATAAAATAAACAGAGAATTAACAATTCTACACTGCATATACTTCATTTATCAATTTTATGTAATGATTTTAAAGCCTTGTTGTTATTAAGATTTTTATTCAAACACGTATCAACAAAGTTTACATCTTTGAGATTTATGATGAAATACGAATAAATGATTTCTTTATAAAAGAAATCCGTATTTATTTGATTTTGAAAATCAATGCAAACTCACAGAGAGTTTTTGTTCTTAACAAACTCCTACAATTCTAATTAAATCATATTATTCCAATTTGAATTTCATGATGGTTTTAAAATCTGTACACGTGGTCATAATCTATATCAAGTAAACAATCCCCATAATTTTAGAAATCAGTATTTATGTGTTTTTGAAAATCAATGCAAATTGCTTGATAGTTTTTTTCTAAGAAACTCCTACATTTCTAATTAAATTATATTATTCAATTCAGTTTGAGTACGAATTTAAAGTTTCAATTTGAAAATGAATTAAAAAATCTGTACACTTGTTGATAGTCTTTCAAGTAAACATAGTCCCAATTTTTTTTTTTTTTCGTTATTAAGTTTTTTATTCCAACAAATGATGTGGTGAAGATTTATTAAATGAGTACCTATGATGTATGGGTTAATATCCAATGTTGTAGCATACACTTTTTTTAATGGCATAAATATAATTGTGTAATTTTTTCTTTGCATGGACGGTATAATTAGTGCAAGTTAATTAAATGAAGTTAATTTTTTTAATAAAATTCAATTAGGTTTTTTATTTTTTTTTATTAACATGAATGATGCAAACTCGTACCATTTTAAATTCTCCACAATTTGAATTACTCCTTAACTTTTAAATACTGCTAAATTTCATATCTATCATTATTTATGCGGACAATTTTGTAGGAAAGTTATTAGGAAATTGTTAACATTTGAATTTGAATTAAGGATTTGCATGAAAATTATTAGAAAATTGTTAACAATTGAATTTGAATTAAAGATTTTTTTTTATTTATTTTTTTTCTGTTTTCCCTATAAGTTCGTTAAAGCAACCATATTTTATTTAAACTTGTATCCCTTCCTTATTTAGAAATTTTGAAATTTGTTTTGCTTACTATATCTAGTAAATAGTAATTCTTTTTATATAAGTATAGATTTATGAAATTATTGCAACATTCTACTGTAAGATATCACGTACATGCCTGACATAACAATAGATCTATTGAAATTGTGTCATGTGTTCTTTTATTTCTTTAAATAAATATTGTTTTGTTATTTTTCCTTTTGTATATAAAATTTCCTTTTATTTTCTTTTTGTGCAACATTCTAAATATTGTTTTTGTTGTTTTTCCTTAAATAAACGCTCCTAATTCCTCTACTTGCTTGCTTTATTGATGGCTTGGGTCCACGAATCACAGTAATTTCCTCCAATTCTCCAAAGCCTACATAAAAAAAATTTCTTCATTAGTAGCTTATTCTGGCAATTCTTTTTATTTAATTAATTTAACTACAATTTATGTGGAATACGATCTTACTTGCCACTACCTATAACTATGCCGTACACTTGTGGATAGCAAAAATAATTAGCGAAAACGAGGAGCTCGTCAACCCGAACCCGGTTGACTATGAATTGACGAATAAGTCGAGCTCACGACGTTAAACCGAGCGCTTCGTCGTTAGGCAAACCACATTTTTATTGTTTTTGTTGTTTTTCCTTTTGTACATAAAAAAAAAAATATATATTCGTGCCGACTTGCTCGGCAGTACCGACTTTTTAGAGCCGAGTAAAAAAAAAATTGAGTAGAATCGAGCAAGAATTGTGCTCGTAGGTTTAGGTCGAATTGGATGAGCTAAAAATGCTAAAAATATGCCCCCAAGTGTTGGAAAAGTGATCATGGACCTTATGAGCCTCAGAGACTTGTGCCCCGACCTCGCGTATGCGACCCAGCGAGCAGACTTCGCGCGCGGACCGCGTTCCGCGACGCTGTGAGCCCCTTCTCGCGCTACGACTGCCGTTTCGCGTCCCAGGGCTTGCGCGCTCGCGAAATCGCCTACACCAGCGAGCGCGCGACTTGCCCTCCTACTACTCCAATGTGTTCATGCTCCGAGCCGCGTGTCATGACCCGCGAGCCCCAGCTTGTGCGCGAAGCCCTGTCCGCGACCCGGCAGCGCCCAGGCCCAGCAGGTGCCAGTCTTCTTCCCCATCCAGCTCAGGCCATTGCGCGCCGCCGCTGGCCGGCACCCTCTTCGGCCAACATGCTCCGATCTTAAAATTTTTTACATTAACGTATAGATCTCCTCGGCGCCGACCACGTATCCAAATTTCTGGAGTAAATTTCAACAAGAAGGCCTCCGATTTTCCCTCGAAAGATTCTAGATCTACAAATTCCACTGGCCTTCTTTTTCATTTTCCCGACGACTCACGGGGACCCAGAAAAATCCGAGGACACCTCCGGAATCCTCTTGCCGAGGCGCTCCTGATGCCGGCCACCTTCGCCGGAACCGACGAACTTTTCTGGCGAGCTATTTTCCGACCAAAATTCACTCACCGAGCTCCCAGTTTGCTGTTTTCCGCAATTTCTTGGCAACCATTATGGATTCTTCATGAGAAGTTTATTTTCTGGCAACCGGAGCCCCGAGCCATGCTTATCTCTCTTTTCCCACATTCCGACACCATATTTTCCAGCGAGCTTCAAGGTACATATGTTTCGTTCGATATTTCTTGTCATTGGTTGTTCGGGATGATGTGGAATACTGATCTTGCCAGAGTAGTGGTCTTGGTGAGTCGAATTAAGCGATTGAGGTGATCTTTCGATTGTGTTGGGTAAGTCTTGCTGGACGTGTCGTGTTTTCGTTGAAATGAGTTATAATGACTCCAGTAAACCAAGATTCCTTTATTTTCTCTTAATTAAAGCTCTCGTGTTTCTTTGCTTGCTTTCAAGTGCTTTCATTAATTAGTTGCAGTTAGTTTTAAATCAACCTAATCCTCTTGCTTAGAATGTTTAGGACTGTATTTGCTATTTTTGTGATTTTGGACGACTAAGTAGTAGGCGAAGCTCCGAACCGTCTTCTTTGAGTTTCGAATAACTCAGTTATCAACCTATTCCACTATAAACAACTCAACACTCTCAACTGACTGGATATTAGTGATGACCTCGTCTACAATTTTTGGAAAAATGGGAGATTCTCTCTTAAATCAGTTAAACATGTCATCAAGTGCTATAAGAGAAGTAATGAGGACAAGCCTGAATGAAGCAACTCAAGGAGATTAGAGGGCAACTTCTGGAGCTTATTGTGGAAATAGAAAGTGAAGAACAAGATCAAAACTTTCTGTGGAACTGTTTGACAAACAACATTGCAACTGGAGCAAATTTAGGGAGGAAAAGTGTGAAAGATTAAGTTTGTCCAATGTGTAGAGAAGAAGATGAAACTTTAGAACACTTGTTATTCGAGAGCAAAAATTGTTTGGAAAATTGCACATTTGTCTTGGCTACATGAAGATCAATCTCTAAGTAACTTTAAGGAGTGGTGGGGTAAGATTGGAGGTTTGAAAAACAAGAAGTAGTTGGAGCCTGGAGGTAAGATCAGCTCTCAGTCTATATTTTATGGTGGTTGTGGAAAATTTGAAACTTATGGATTTTTGAAGTGGTTTGGAAATGTGAGAAGGAGTTGGTGGATATCTTGCAGTTTTGTAATTGTCTGAGTTTGATATGGTTTATTTTAACTTGGATGGTGATGTTAGTTTTTGATTAATTTGTTGTCCCACATCGGATGTATACCACAGATGTGTAGCATCTTATTAGTATAAATAGGTCACTTGCCTTTGGTTACAATTGCACCTTATTCTATTTTCTCATCTCTTAGAAGAAAATCCTTAATTAAGGAAATCCTAATTTATGGGTTATTTAACTGTAGTTGTATTTTGTTGGTGAATTTTGTAAATTTGGCGTTGCTGCTGGCGGTGCCCGGAGACGTAGGCAATATTTGCCGAACTTCGTTATCAATTTTTGTGTTTTTTTTCTTTCTTGTCTTATATTTATTTGTGTCGGCTTATTTTCGTTTGGAGTAGTGTTTGCCATATTTGTTGTAGGAGTATTTTTGTCCGCTGCGCTTGATGTTCTACTCCCAACAGATGACTTGGTTCCTTAAAAGTTGTGTGCTTAATTGTATATTAGGGGATTGATTATCTCAGTGGTGTTAAGCATGAAGGCTTCTAAGCTTCTTTTGTTGGGGGTGCAGGAAGGTGCTGAGTGAGGTTTGGCTAGGAGTCTTTCTCAGTGGTTGCTCTCTGCTTTACTTTCTTTTCTTTTTTGTGGTTGTTGCATGTTCTAATAAGAGATTTTGCTATTGGTTTTAGTTTTTATCTCTTGATTGCATTGTAATCTCGGTGTAATTTGAGTCCTTGTACTCTTTTGACTTCGGCCTTTGTTAATCTTATTAATCGTTTCGTAAAAAAGGGTACATTGCTTAATTAATTTTAACAAAACATGGAAAGTGAATCTATCTTTTTTCCATATTCAAGGCCTATATGCTATAATCCTATATGCTTGGTTCTATTCCAAAAAAGGTCAAAAAAAGACCCACTTGCGTGGTATATACAAACAAAGACATCTGATCTGACCAAATGTATAGTGACATCCAACTCGATTGTGAATGAATTAAGACCTTGCTATCATGTACTTTCGCTGCATGAATTTAATAAGGTCAAATCTCACTCTGCAAATTGAGCCTCTGCCTTTTTCATTTTCTCAATTAATTATATACATATGCATTTTCCACATGACCAAACAAATGATGGATATATTATATATATATATAGCCCTTTTGTCTCACCTTCAGTTCAATCACTAGCTATATAAAACACAAGCTACCCTCTCCTTTTCTTTCCCTGCACAAAACAAGTCTTCCCATTCGTTTCGTAAAATGGATGCCCAAATTAATCCCGAACCCGTTTTGAAACGGATCCTGACCCGGATCCACGCGGGTCACTTCCGAATCACGCTTTCCCTCGGCTGGCAGGCGCTACTATGGAAAATTCTCCTCCACACCCACCAAAATTCCAGAATTGTATTCGGACCCCCGAAACTCTTCAACTCGGCAGTTGTGACCGCGATGTGGTCGTTCTCGCTGGCCGTCCTCGTCGTCCTCTCGCTCGCCTACGCACTCAGGTGCGCCCTCCGATTCGACTCGGTCCGATCCGAGTTCACTCACCGAGTCGGGGTGAACTACCTGTTCGCGCCGTGGATCTCGTGGATGCTGGTCGTGGAGTCGGCGCCGTTCGTCACGCCGCGCCACGCCGCCTTCGTCGTCCTCTGGTGGGTGCTGGCGGTGCCCGTGGTGGTTCTAGACGTCAAGGTGTACGGACAGTGGTTCACGACGAGAGGGAAGAGGTTCCTGACGGCGGTGGCGAACCCGACGAGCCAGCTGACGGTGGTCGGCAACCTGGTAGGGGCGCGCGCCGCCGCGAAGATGGGGTGGGACGAGGCGGCGGTGTTTTTGTTCGGGCTGGGGATGACGCACTACTTTGTGCTGCTGGTGACGCTGTACCAGAGGATCGCCGGAGGAGGGGGGGACCGGCTGCCGGCGATTTTACGGCCGACGTTCTGCTTGTTTTTTGGGGCGCCGAGTGTGGCCAGCGTCGCGTGGTATTCAATCGCCGGGAGGTTTGACACGGCGGCGAAGATGTTGTTTTTTCTCTCGCTCTTTTTCTTCATGTCTCTCGTAAGTGATTTTTTTTNCATTTTTTTAATATATTTTCAAATTTAAGAGAATCCTAGGAAGATCAGTGAGATTTGAACTTGCGGGTTTCGTGTTCTAGATTATGTTTTTAAAGTCCACACAAATTCAAGTAAAATAATAAATTGAATACTTCTTAAAATCTCTCGAATGACTATTGAGACTAGAGATGTTAAATGGTCATTGGCCCGACAGGCTGGCCCGTTTATCCCGAAAAAAAATAAGATTAGGTCATTTTATTAGTAGCTCGTTTAAATCAGGGCATTTTAGGCCCGGATCGTTTAGCCCGAAGCCCGTTAGGACTAGCCCGAAATCCGATAGGTCTAGTCCGTTTAACTAGAGTTGGGCGGTGTAAATGTTTGCATCAAGTAAGTAATATACTCTTAGATTTCTTGCGTAGTACAATTTTGCTATTCCACTTTACATGTAAGTATGAGTTGTAACGGATTATTATGATTTTGAAAGATAATTATTAACAATTTTGTTATTCTATTTCATTCCAAAATATTTAAGTCAATCAGAAAGACTAATAAAAATACATGAAACATAGTGATAGACGGTAAATAGTAAATAGCCATTGAAAACAATTGTTAACTAGCCGTTGTTATTTTTTTATATATATTTTACTCTTTTTATTTTTATATTATTATTATTATTATTATTATTATTATTATTATTATTATAGCCCGCATAGCCCGTTTAGTTCGAAGCCTGCTAGGGTTAGGGTTAGGTCTCTTTTTTGGTAGCCCATTTAAATCCGAGTTTTTTAGACTCGGATCGTTTAATTCGAAACCCGCTAGGATTAGCTCGTTTAACATCTCTAATTCAGACTTCTTAAAAAGTTTTAAAAAGTCAATGTTGCATACACGAAATTCTAAAATTCCGAAGAGTTGATAAAGAATAAAAAAGTTAAATACACGGTTCTTAAAAATTCCAAAAATTGTATACTCTTTTTAATTTAATTTAATTTAATTTTGAATTACGTTTGTTTTGGACTCAAAAACCCGTGACAAATCAACTTACCGATTATATTAGTCCTAAATTATCTGTCCCAGCTGGATTTTAGAAACCAATTTTGATTTTTTTTAAAAAAAAAATTTCGTGGCGTTGGACGTTGGTAGGTGTTTTTGACGTTTGCATATTATTAGTTTGATTTTGACTTTAGTTTATGTTTTATAATATATATGTGCACGAGCCTACAATGAAATGAACTTGAAGCAAAATTGGTTTTGCATGGAAAGAGAGTGCTACTTTTTATACGAAAGGTGATGTCACTTTTGCAATAAAATACTTTTCTACTATTTAATTAATACTTCCTGTTATCTGCGTCTTAATCAGGCTTGATAAATTCAACCCAGTTGACCTGAGGATTGATTTGATTGGTTCGGAATAAATTAGACAGCCATGTCGAATATAATTAAATCTTTTGTCTCTTTTTTTAAAATAAAAACTTGAACATTAAGCCATCAAAGTATTCATATGTTGAATGATTTTTCATCTTAAGTTAAGTTTTCAGAGTGTACATGTATGATGTAACTTGATTTACATGTGGTTAAGCAGTTTCGTAATGGATCAATGAACATACTAATTTTAAGTCGATTATTGAACTGGATTTGAAATATTGGATCAACGAACATATAAGTTAGAAAAGATAACAAATTAAGAACAAAGTTATGTAATGTTCTTGACAATACAAATTATTTTGTAGGGCAATTTAATTGTTAGTAAAATAGTGCCAAGCAGACGTAGCAAATCTGCAATTGATTAATTAAGCCTAAAATAAATCTGATTCGTTAGTATTAATGGAAATTTTTGTATGTGCAGATTATGACAGGTTAATTAGATATAGTCAGGCTTCTACATTTTCTTTAGGCAGTAATTGTAAGTGTTACCCCATTTCAATATTTTAAATAATTTTCTTGAAGTCTGATTAATATAAAATAGTGCCAAGTTGCCGTAGCAAATCTGCAACTGATTAATTAAGCCTAAATAAATTTGATTGGTAGTATTAACCTAAATCGTTTTTATTTTATATATGTTGGCATGTGAAGATTATGACAGGATAATTATGTGGTGTGATTATTATATTTTCCAATCATATAATGTGGTTATGATCGTACCATCTAAGGAGAAAATGAAGTATTTATATAATTTACTTTTGGGATGAAAAAGATGATTCTCTCAATATATATATGACACACATAAATTATTGAAGTATTAAATTGAACACAAAGTAGATGTAAACTTGCCATAACCACTAAATTCCAATATAAACATAATAATTTAAAAATTAGTAGTTCATACTACTTCTCCTTTTCTTTCTTTTCTTTCTTTTTTTTTTTTTTCTTGGGCAGCTGAAAATAGTCATCTTAGTCACATATTGCGGCAAATTACATAATTTAATTTTTTTTTACAAGTCTTCACTTCTCTCAATTAATTACTTAACCTTTTTTCCTTTTTCAACCACAAAAAAAAAGATATGCAGGCCATGTCTTTTCAAGAAAGCGATGAGAAGGTTCAACGTTGCATGGTGGGCTTATTCCTACCCAATAACGATGTTGACCCTTGCCTCCATAAGATACGAGCAAGAAGTCAAAGGCGGCGTCCCTCGTCTAATACGGCTGTCCTTGTCCGTACTCTCGGTTGTGGTCCTTTTCGGTCTCCTGTTTTTCACCGGGCTCAACCCTAGATTGCTTTTGCCCGACGATGACCCGATTATCGGTGCTAATCCACCTAACAAGTGTGCCGACAAAGTCGATTCGAAACGAGGCCCGTGTGCTATCATACCATGATCGTATATATATTGAAGGCGAACATATGTACATATATAATATTATTGTGAAAATAGTCTTTTTCACCCCCACTATGAAAATATATTATGTTTTTCACATTGTCTCATAAGTTGATAAGTTAAATTTTTTCAACCCCACAAAATTTGAAGACATTGTGTGATGAATACGCAACAATTGTGCAATGACGTTGTGCGAAAGTTAAATGTACGACGGCATTTGCACAACTCTTCGCACTTTCTGAGATGGAAAATTTAAAGTGCTAAGTCATTCACTACGTCAAAAAGATTTCAAATAACACTTCTGTCATGACCTTTTTTAGATAAGTGCTATGTAAAAAGCATGTAGATCTTAGATAGCACTTAATTTAACAAGCGGTATAAGAAGAGTAAAATTAAATACTTAACACTCATTTTAAAAGTGCTATATAAATTACAACACTTATTTATATTATAACATTTTTTTAAAAATGTTATGTAAATTATAACACTTATTCATCCTATTCCCCACTCCAGTATATTAAAAACAAAACATCCATTTTACAAAAAATATATCAAATTAGGGTTTAGGGAATTACATAAGTTGTAAAGGCTTCCTTTTTTTTCGTCTTCATCTTACTGCATCCCCCTGACAAATCTTTTGTCCTCAAATTTTCAGTCATAATTATTGGGGCAAAAATTCAATTTTAGTCCGCTAATTTGTCCATTGTTCACTTTTGGTACACTATCTTTCCCCTCATAAAAAATGGTCCATTATGTTACACTTTTCATCAGTTTTAGTACACTAATCCCGTGGCACGGGATTACGAGATGCCAAATCCGGTTTTTATCATACCACGTCAATATCTTATCCCTCCACGTAGTTCCAATCCCGGTCCACGTCATCTTGTAATCCCGCCAACTGGAGTAGCATACTAAAACTGATGAAAAGTGTAACATAATGGACCATTTTTTATGAGGGGAAAGATAGTGTACCAAAAGTGGACAATGGATAAATTAGCGAACCAAAATTAGATTTTTACGTAATTATTGGTATCATTAAATATTTTTCGTATACATGGTAAATCTTCTTTCAAAACAAGTATCATTAGATATTTTTAAATGTAGACATTTTCTTACACATTATATCTATACATACATATACATATACTCATGTATGTACTCATATACATATAAAGACAAAATTTTAAGTTACTTCACATGTGAAATTTAAATATTTTTAGACATGGTTTTATTTACAAAAATTTTAGGTGACTTCACATTTTTTAATAATAATATAGAAAATTTAAGATATTTTTACATAATTATTAGTTAATTTTTTTACTTTCATATTTAATTTTTAGTTTTTGTTTAATATTGTTTACTGCATCGCATGTGGCTACACATGAGTAAATATATATAAAGTAAACAAATTGACAGCTTCTCCTTGATATATCCTTCTCAAAAATTCAAAATAAATTTGAGATGTGAATAAATATAGTTTTGTACTTATCTTCAAAAGTCTCCTAAATTTATTTAGTATTTGAGAGATGACTAAAAATAATTGTTACTATTTTTTGTGTTGTTTATCCAAAAATGTTAATATGAATATGTGAACTTATTTTGCAATTTTAAATTGTGCAGACACTAGCTTTAATTAACTTGCAACTTGCTAGTTCTTTACCAGCTGTTGTCAACTGTGGTTTGACTTTGATGTCCGCGTGTGTGTACTACAGTGTATTGCTGGGTGCGTAAAGAGTTCAACTTTTCCTTCCAAGTAAAGAGGTACAAGGAATTGTAGCACATTAAATTCCGCACAAGTTGCACCCGTCACTCGTGCACTTCAAACTTTGCAGCTGCGTTTACGGGTGTTACTATTTACTGTCTCTCTCTATTAGTACGAATCTTTTCACGGTAATTATATTTTATTATTGGCAAAATCATTTTTTTAATTGGCAATCTTTTGTTAAAATACTAAATTCGTATTTTTTATTGGCAAAAAAAAAAAATATTTGAAATAAACTGATAGTTTAATTTACAAAAAAAATCGATTTTTTTATTGAAAAGACAAACAACTTTTAAAAAAATAAATAGCATAAATATATCCGATAGACACTAGATTAGACTCGATTTTGTTTCCAAACTGACCCAAATTTTACATTTTAAATTTTCAGAAAATGAAGTTGATATCACATAGACGAGATTTTTCAAATTTTGGTAAAAAAGATTACTTAATTTAGTAAATATTTTAGGCGAGAAACCAAATTTGTTTTGCTGATTTTTAGTTACTATTTCAAGTAAATATCATTGTCCCTTTCTATATTAATAGATAATGCGCAATTTCGGATAGAATTCGAACACCTATGTAATTCCTTACATGCCAAAGAATCAAACCAAGAATGTTATACATAAGAGAAGTGTTCAATAACATATAAATTTCATTTTCATGATATTCTTGATGCTATGAGACAATTTAAATACAAAAATACCATTTAAAAAGCAAGTAGATAATAAATTCTCCTGTGCATCGCACATATATTAACTATACTAGTTTTTATTTATAAATCATGCAACCCACTATTTATGAAATTGCCTAATTCAAGCTACAAACAGCCCCATTCCTAGAGTTGGAAATATGAAATGACTATCAACATCAAATGAGAATAAAAAAAAAAGTCGAATTTGAAATAAAAAAATAATGTTTCATATAGTTGGAAAGAAAAGGAGATGCCCATTTAGTGGACCTCTTAAACCATATCAAATATGTTGTTGGGTTGGACTTCTCATGAAAGAGCTTTATGTATTTTAGTATTTTTTATTAGGTGGGCTTGCCCATTTAGTGGGCTGTTAAAATCCTAACTCAGATCCTTTTGGGTAGGTGAAGCAGCCCAGCCCACGAGCCTGAGCTCATTCCGGTTTTGATAAGCCTATGACAGCTCGATAAAGTGGAGCTTATCCTACATGTACTGGGATGATCCGAACAGATCCATGAGAAGCCAGTCAAGTATATTTTATGACCTATAAATATTAAACTTAAAATCTAGCTAAAAGATAGAAGAAGTTTCAAAAGAGAAAAGATAAGAGGAGAAAAAGGGAAGAGAAAGAAAAGAAGAAAAATAAGCTAAGGCTAAGAATAGGAATTTGATGGACTACAAATGTATCAATGTCTAGCTAACTGAAGCCCACTCACTTATTGCTGTAGTACTAATAAATCCAGCAGACAAAAGTCTGAGTTTTAGCATGCTTGCAGCTTGCTAAAGTAAACTACGTACATTGTACAGTACACCTAACCCAGGCCCTATATATAACTTTATAAAAATAAATGGAAAAAGAGAGAGGAAAATAATACATCAGTCACAATTGATTTGAGGTAACAACTGAGAGACATTTACAGGAAAATGCTACAATCCCGTTACGGAACTATTCCGTTGGGATTGTAACAGTTAGATCATCAAATAACCGTCAATAATAGTTGATCTAACGATTACAAATCACAACGGAATAGTTCCGTAACGGGATTGTAGCCTTACCCACATTTATAACTCATACAGTTAACCGTGCCATGCCATTATCATTGGATGTCAAAAGACATTGTCTATTTCTCTCGCTTTTGACAACAGGAATAGAAATATGAGTTGCATGTATTATTATTATTATTATTATTTAAGGAATCAGCCATTCACTGATTCACATTGAAAATTAGATGTGACGAACGGTGTAGTTCAGTCAAAACAACATCGAACAAAACAAATAATTAAATAATTAGAACTTAATAGAAAAAAAGTTGAACCACACCACAACATTAGGAAAAATATAGAACTAAAAGTATTATACATTAAAAATAATCAAAACAAACCGCACTGAAACACACTATTCAAATTGTCTTTTATACGTTTGTATTTAATTTAGTTTCGTTAATGCAAAACTACGTCAAACTGGAAAAAAAAAAAACAAAAAAACAGAACGAAACAGTATCAAATAAACCTGAATTTGAACATGAGCGAAATTTTTTTACACTGAAATAACCGAATCAAACTACATTGAATTGCATTGTTTGGCTCGATTTTTCAACGTCTAACTCAATTCTGTTATCCTCTAATGAAAATATAAATGTAAATGCGCACAAAAAAGTTGTGGATCTTACTTAGGGGTGGTGGGGCATAGTGTGTGCGGTGGTGGTGACTGATAACAAGAGATGACCCATTCTTAAATTGCTTTATTAATCTCTGCAACCATTTTTTCACAGATTAGGTAAAACTTTCCATTAATGGAAACCTCAATGGTCCCTCAAATTACTCTTTCAATTACCCAAACCTTCGTTTACCCTTTCCCATTTATCTCACTTTCTATCTCTCTCCCCCTATTCTTCTTCCTCCTTGTAGTGATCTGTAGAATCTTATCACCATTTTAGAAAAAAAAAAAAATCAACCTTTAGAGAGAGAGAGAGATGACTCGTGGGAAAATCCAGATAAAGAGAATAGAGAACCAAACAAACAGGCAAGTGACCTATTCGAAGAGGAGAAATGGGCTTTTTAAAAAAGCCCATGAACTCACTGTTCTGTGTGATGCCAAAGTCTCCATTGTAATGGTCTCCAACACACAGAAGCTTCATGAGTACATCAGCCCAACAACCACGTAAACCCTAATTTCTCTTTCTAATCTCTAATCTCTAAAATTAGGGAACATTGAAAATTATATCTAGTAAATTTGAGGTAGATAAGAAATTTCTTATTGCATAAAATATCTACTGATTACTCAAATTGCGAATATTATAGTAAATAAATTGAGATTTTTTTGCAATTAGTTAGGAGTTAGTTTTTGTATGTTTTTTTTTCGCATTTTTTAGTATGTTCGCTCGACTTTTAATAATTAGTGACCATTTTGCACAACGCAAAAATTATAATGGATAAAATTGTAATTTTGTCCAAAAGTATGGTATATCTTGCAATGTTTTCCTAAAATTATACGTTTTTTTTAATTGATTTAAAAATTCTTGAATTTTCATTATGGGGCTTTTTTTATTTTTTTATTTTTATTTCGTACGTAGGACGAAGCAAGTATTTGATCAGTATCAGAAGGCTGTGGGGGTTGATATCTGGAGCAGACAACATGAGGTTCTTCCAATTTTGTTATCTTTTTATTTATTTGTTATTATTATTGTTGTTTTCGTTTTAAAATAGAATGTTTAATTACCAATTAAGCCAGAGAAAAAGAAGATTGAGTTTTTGAGTTTTTTGGGTGGAATATTTGTGCAGAAAATGCAGGCACAGTTGCAGAAACTGAAGGAGGTTAACAGGAACCTTAGGAAGGAGATTAGGTACAATTAACTATTCAAAAATTTCCAATTAAAAAATTATTATTTCTCTTTTGTACTTAATAATAGTTGATATTTTTTTTTTTGTATATATATATATATATATATATTTGTTTGATTTTCTTATTTGAATTGAGCAGGCAAAGGATGGGAGAGTGCTTGAACGATCTGGGTTACGAACAAATGATTAATCTTATTGAAGATATAGACAGCTCGTTGGGCCTCATCCGAGAAAAAAAGGTTTTCATGTCAATGTCAATTTCTTTTTATTTACTTGGCCCAGGATAAAAATTAATAAATCCTTTGAATATATACATTTCTTTAATTTTGTTTTTTGAATCCATTTAAAAAATTACGTTATATAAAAGGTCAGGTTTCGGTGAGAATAGATCTTAGGAAAAGAACTAAGAATACATCGTAACCACCAAATTGGATAATCCAACAACCCCAAAATTCCAAAATTTAACTCGTGAAGGGCGATATGGACATTACCCTCACCCACTTAGGCCCCACCCCAACATCACTCTTCTCTCTCACACACAAACATGAACACACATATCACGATTCACGCACACCCGACTCTGCAAGTCCCGTTTTCCTCCTCCGCCACTCTGGATCGAAACTATTTTGTGAAAAATAGATAAGTCCAAGGAACTTATCTGCAAATTACTATATTGCAATTTAGTATATTGCAATTTAGTTCATGAGTTAAATTAGTAATTTAATAAAAGTTGATAGTTGCACAATAACGTTCAGTGTGATACACAAGCATTGGACAAGATGCACATTAATGTATGTGAGAATGCACATTAGCATAATAGTGTATTCTGTGCAATGACTAAAATACCCCGTGTGAAAAATCAAAAGTCCACATTATTTCGATAATGTCACCACCCATTTGACTAAAGTTGGAATCTTAACTGTGTCTGGAGCGTTGATATATCACATCTGATTGCTAATACCTATTCTTATTTCTTTTATCACTTATTTCCATATATGATCCTATTTTCAATAAAAAGGTGGAAAAGTTATTAACTGATTATACTATAAGAAAATCTGTTATTAAATATATAATATAACGAGAGTTGACGTGATAAGACATTAATAAAATATTTTAAATATCAATTATTTATCACCTATTTTTAAACAATTTACCTAAAAGATTCCCTTAAATTAGCTAAAAGGAAACTAGCAGGCTAGTGTATGAATTCGTGAATCTATACTTATATTAAAGGGAGTCTTATTTACCAAATTTAGTAGTTAGAAAAGTCAACAACATTTATTGCCATTACTATTTCCGTATTATACAGTTTTTATTTAATATTTGTTTTTCTGTTACAATTTTTAAAAATAGATATGGTCAAATTCTCTCATCATTAATTACTTTCCATTAATTACAATTTATTTATTTATTATTTTCATAGCAAAAACGGACCAACATTAATTGATTTCCTTAAAATGCGAAAGTTGTTGCTTTATTTTTGTACAGAAAATCGGGTTTCATTATAGAAACTTGTTCAATTACACAATGAATTTTCAAGATATAATTATTTTTTATGGGAATTTTTTTTTAACAGAAAAATATGGCATTTCAATAAAATTTTCGATTTTTTAAGACTGATCGTTATCATGCCATGAAATTGAACATTCCAATATACCTTAACAAAATATACACGTGGTGTATACATCAGCTAATAGAAATATAGAATCCTCATATTTTTATATATATGTATGTAATTTTTCTATTACCAAATTTAATTGATAGTTGTTGTGTTATGGGTTTTTTCATAATTGTTACTTGGTTGTTGTGATATTTAGTTTGGTTGGTGTTGAAAAAATTCTAATCTATATATATAATAAGAATAATCATGACAATGCAAATTAGAAAAATATTGATATTAGAAGAGATTGAGTTCATGGCTTTTCTTAAATCAAAGTTGTTTAATTAGTATACAAAATTAATTTCTAAAAAAATATATGTTTATATTTTGTGCATTATTTATACACTATTTAAATTTAAATTTATTTACATATTTTAAATTGATTACTTATATAAATAATACCAACGTGCATTAAATATATTTCATTACATAAAATAAAAAGAACAAAAAGACGTGTAATTTGTATAACTTTATAAATAATAATGACATTATATGGCAACAAAGTTTAATAATTAACTATTATATAGTGAATAAGAATAAGTAAAATTATTATTTTCTCCTATATCAAGGAATAAAGATATATAATAAAATTAAATTTATATTAGTATAAATGTGTTAGTGAGATAATATATTAATTATTTTACAAGTTAGCCCTAACATGCTCACGTTTAATGTTCTGACTAATAAAACAATGCTGATTAAAAGATGTGAAAAATATATTACAACCCTATTTTTTTAGACTTAACGGTGATTAAAAGAGATGGAAAATAGATGATAACTCTTTTCAGACTTAAAACAAGACTTAATGGTGATTAAAATAGGTGGAAAATAGATAATAACCCTTATCAGACTTAAACAGACAGAGCCTGTAAAAATAATTCATTTAATATCTCTCTCCCGTGCATCAAAGGGGTTACGTACTAGTTACTAGTTACTACTGGAAGAACCATAGGAAAGGCATCAAGTTTTGTCATGAGGAAACTAAAGTAGTTCCCTGCAACCTAGGAGAACTATATCAGCTATTACCTTTTGAAGTGATTTGCACAGGAAAACTTATTACTACTTTTTAGTTTTTACGGATGCATAATATATATAGGGGATAAAATTAAAATTAGTCCCACAGGTATAGGGATGACAATTTTGGTCCCGACGGAATGCAGAAAATATGAATAGTTCCACAGTTTTAAAAAATGATCAAAAGTAGGACTTTTTCGTCGGATTTACTATTTTCGGCCTGAAACGCCACGTGGCGCACACGTAGCGCACACGTGGCTTATTTTTTTTACACGCTGGCATCCGACGTAGAGGGAAAAAATCAAAACTAATCCCACAAGTATAGGGGAATGATATTTTTGGTCTCGATGGAATGCAGAAAATTCAAAACTAGTCCCACAACTTGTAAATCCGGCGAAAAAGTCCTACTTTTGTTCATTTTTTAAAAGATATGAGACTATTCATATTTTCTGCATTCCGTCGGGACCAAAATTGTCACCTCCTATACCTGTGGGACTAGTTTTGAAATTTTCCCGTATATATAGTATCAAATAAACAATTAGCAGGTTTAAGGTTTTGAGTGTCAATAATCGGTTAAAGCTTAATAACAATATGAAGGGGTAGAGAAAAAAGAGACTATTGTACTACTGCGACCGAACGAGTGGAATTCAATCATGTTCAAACACTATTTGAGTTTGTTTATTCGAGCGGGAGGTTATGATCTCGTTTGATTGTTTGAGTATTCAGAGAAGTCTTGAAATAAGATGTTTTGATTTTATTTGAATTCTTTAGTTTGTTATAGTTAATTCTGAAAAAAATGATATAATAAATATATTTTTTTTTTGATAAGTCAGAGTTTGATTTGATCAATTAATTTGTTTGAGCCAGAATATTAAAAACTGTGATAATGACATTAAATTGACGTTCCAATTTTGGTAAGGGATAGACTCAAGCTCGTGATTTACAACAATTGATTGAATTTCGTCAAATTTAACTTTATTAATAAACGAATAAACATCATTTAAACTCGAGTCAGCCTAAAATGAACTTGTATTTGCGAAATATGACGCCATGACTTTGTCCACTCAATACAAGGAAAAAATAGTTTTACCTATAAAATATGTCCTATATATTAATTAGAACTAGTACGAGATGCATAATAATGATAAATGGTATAAATTAAAAAATGAAAGAATATTGAATAGTATAAAAATAGTTTAAAATATTTTATATTAAATTTCTTTTTTTCCTTTATTTGTATGATATTAATATATAATTTATATATTTATTTCACCCGTTATAAAATATCTGTCATTTCATAATATATGATTAGAATTAAGAAACATTAAACATATTCAAACATTATTAATAAATAATACACAAAATTGCATTTTGTGTCCTGTAACTAGGGGTGTGTAGCAAATGTAGACAACTTCTTTTGGTTTAGCAAAAGCACTTTGAGACTTGTTAAACTCAGAATTCATGCCCAATTTATCTACAAGTTACTGAATTTCACCGGTAAGTGCACACTCACCTTTGTTTTATCCTATGTGGATGCACATGTGTCCCAGAAGAGTGTTAAATCGGCAGTAACTTCCTTTTCTGTGGTAAACAGAATAATAACTTGTTAAAACTCGAAATTTGTGCTCAATTTACCTACAAATTACCGAATTTCATCGATAGTGCTGACTCACACTGACTTATCTTGCGTGGGTGCGCATGTGTCTACTAAAATAGTAACTAAAAAAATAACTAGGAATCCCGCCTAAATATTTACTAAACGTAGTAATGTTTTTGAAAATTTTATAAATATCCCGCCTAAATGTGTTTTTGAAAATTTTGGAAAAAATTTGAATTTAAACATTTAAAAGAAAAAAACACATACATATTTTTTTGGATACATTCCATTTAATCTTTACTTTCATATAATCTACCACATAATGAAAAAATATCTACTTACAAGGAACAAATAAAATATTAGGCTTAATGTATTTAATATTGTCATAAAATCGTATTTATATGTTTTTATTTTTAATTATTATGAGATCGGATAAATTCTAAAAATTGAATAGAATGCATATATGACACAATATTTATTTAAAATTTATTTATATATTTTAAAATTAATTATATCAATAAATAATATTAATGTAAATTAAATACTAATCATTATATATATTTATAAAAAAAAGAATACTACTTCTAATACTACTTCTAATAAAAAAAAGAATACTACTTCTAATAATAATAAAACCATATGAAATAATTTCACTTTTAACCAAGGGGTGTATAAATTTTTTAAATAAATTTAATATTTCTCCTATCCTCCAAATTCCCGTAACACTAGCGCCACCTTTCATCTGTGTACGCTCGCCTTCCACGGCGGCGGTGCAGCGCAGGCTGGTGGTCGCGCTCGACTGCCGCCCCTCCTCTGTTGTCCCGGACCTCTGGAGTTGATGTGGAGTGCTTGCGCCAATGGGTAAGCCTTGCTCTTTTTCGCCGGCAAAGTTGCGATTGGAGGCGGCGAGCTCTTCGGTCGTCGATTGGTTCGCAATTGATGGAGTCAGTTGCCCGCTGGTCGCGATTGGAGGTGAGTATTCCTCCATTTCCTTCTTTGTTCCTATTTCTGTACCTTTGCTCGAATGAAGGGCCTATCGGGCATTTCCGTTTTCCAACGGGTCTCCATTCGGGGTTTTCCTATATTCGTGCCTGTGGTCTGTGGTGCTTTGACTGGTTGTGGGTCGAGAGGCGGAGCGGGGCTCTGACGGGGTGTCGGAACTGAGGGCCTGAGCCGCCCCCTGTTCCGTCTAGTTGTGTTAGACGGCGGGAATTTGGTGCTCCGACGCTCGACTAGTGGTGTTAGGCGGGTCGTTTTGGAGTTTGGTTTGTGTTTGGGCTCGACTTCTTGTATACGCCTTGTGGCAGTTTTGGGAGCCATCCCCTGGACTTGGATTATCCTTTGATATCGAGTGTTCTCCACTGGTTTGAGCTCACTGATTTGCTGTGGAATGACCTTTTTATTTAGCTCTGTTTTTTCCTTATTTTGTTTTGTAGTAGATTGGTTTGTTGTTATTGTTTCGTTTGTTCGTATCTGTGTTTGTGTTTGTCGTTGTGTTTTAGGTTTGGGTCGTTGGCCTCTGTACGCCCGAGTGTCACTTTATTACTTTGTGGGGGTGCGACACTCGGGTATTACCCTGTGCGGGTCTTTGTGTTGTTATTTTTTTGTGTTTTTTAGTGTTCTTGAGTATTACTCCGTTGAGATCGGTTCTAGGTGGTATTTTGACATGTCCTCCCACTTTTTCAGCTATAATTAAGTACATCAATAAATAATATAATGTAAATTAAATACTTATCATTATATAAAAAGATAGAATACTACTTTTAAAAGTGCTATAACTAATAATAATAAAACTATATGAAATTAAATTTTAGAATAAAATAATATTTAAGTATTATGATGAATAATAATAAGTAAAATTATTATTTCTGTATCAAAAAACAAATAAATGTTTTATAATATTATTTATATGAATATAAATGGGTCAACGAGCTAATACAATGTTAAAACAATGTTTTAAAAAAGGTTTTAGTGTACAAACTTATCGGTCAGGGACGAAGCCACCCCAAAGGCTGGAGGGGCTCCAACCCGGTCTTAATTTTCTGGCTATGTTCATTTTATACTAATAAAAAAATATTTTAACCCACATTACATTATATTAGCCCAATATTAATCTTGTTTTGACCCAAAATAACTTGAATTTGTTTACATTAAATCAATGAATTATAATCTAAACATGATTTAAGTTTCTTTCCACCTTTCTTTTGGATTATTATGCTTCTTTTAAAATGTCATTCTTGTGTTTATCTTTTATTATTTGATTAAATAATTTTTTTTTAAATAATTTTATTCGAGACAATATTTGATTGTGTTATACTTTCAATAGAATACTTAGTTGTAATTATTTATAGATTTTACAATCAAATTTTATATTCACTGAATTTTTAAATAAATGATAGTTGATTATATGAAATTTACTACTAAATCTTATTTATTTATCTTATTTATTTATCGGACAAATTCAATGAAATCGCACATGTACTTTAAAATGACATGATATCGAACAAGAATGACGGGACAATTACACTGTTTTATAGTAGTTCTTTGAATAAATTATATTTTTGTTATTAAAATTCAAGAACATGAGAAAATTTATTTTTGTACAATTAAAAAAAATATGAAACAATTAAAAATATATTTGTCATGTGTATAAGAGAATAGTTTAAAATTCACAAGTTTTTATTCAAGGACAGTCATATCCATAAAAATCACTAGTTAGAAATTATAATAATCATTATATTTACTGTGTGACTTAGGCAATTTATATTAAATTTAAAAATTATTTTCATATTTTGACTTTTTTTTTTTGGTACAAAGAAGGAGGTCGACGACCTAAGCTAGCACTTGTCGGGGGTATGACACCCCAATATTGTCATGCTCAAGCCAAGCACTTAGTCCTGTAGGAGACGAGGAGACTCGATACAGTCCAGTCGGATAGGAAGCCGCCAAGCTCGACATATGGTCCACCGCGAAACTCGCTTCTCTGTGGACATGTTGAACCCTAACTTCCCAGCCCCTTTGTAATACCCCGCGTATGGCCTTAACCATCGCTTCATGAGCACCAAGACCGTCTTCCGAGCTAGACACCATTTGTAAAACGTATTGGCTTTCAATTTCCGCAACAACTCTCCGGAAACCCAAATCCCACGCCAATAGAAGCCCGTGAAAGAGACCCCAAAGCTCGGCTCCCGTAATGGTACAGGATCCAATATTCACGAGAAAGCCCTCGATCCACCGTCCCATCTCATCTCGAATTAGCCCGCCCGCACTACTTAACCCCATTTGGTTGGCATATGCACCGTCAGTGTTCACTTTAATCCAACCCGACTCAGGCGGAGACCACCGAATCATGCGGGTGACGTACGTGGCAGCCCTGACCTTCATGTAGGCCGCCTCGGCTCGTGTATAGTTTTCCAGTATGCTCTCAATTTTCGCTCTCCGGGCCGCATAGCTCAGGGATTTTTGCTTAAATATCCGTTCATTCCGCCATGTCCACATTCTCCAAACCGCAACCGCAAATAAACTATTCCATCTATCCCTCACTCACATCCGTGTCTTCCGAAGATTCGAGCTAAGCCAGGCTTTGAGAGTTATTTAAACATGTGTCTTGTTAGATTTTTCAAATCGAGTATTTCAAGTTCGAACGCGTGCTCATTTAATAAACGAGTTATCGTGGCTTAGTTGTTTAATAAATAAATAAAAATTTGAGCTTAGGGCTGTGGAGTGGACCGGCGTGGGCGACTTTGCAGAGTTCTGAGGGTGGTTGGCGGATCTGCAGTTCGGTTCTAGTTAGCACGTTAGCGGAGTTTCTGGTTTCATTGTGTTTGGGCTGTTGTTCGCGTGACTTCTGCTCTGGCATTCGTGTTTGAATGTTTTCTTGGGTTGTTTGGACGCTGGGTGTTCTTGTTTGTTTGGGAGGGCTTGTGTTTTAGTTGTTTTTGTGTTTGTTGTTTTTGTTTTGTTAGTCTCTGTTGTTTCCTTTATTTTGTTGTGTGTTTTTTCTATTTGTTTCTCCTTTTGAGAGTTGTTTGATTCTCCTTTTGGGAATTGCTTTTCTTATCTTGTTGGGAGCTTTAGTTTTTTTATTGTAGTTCTGTGTTTAGGTTTGTTCTAGGTTGACTCGGACTTTGGTCTATGGAGTTAGTCCTTCTAACTAGATTCAACTGTGTTGTTATTTATTCGGCAATTTAGCTGCAATTATTTGTTTTTCTTTATTGAAAGTCTATGGTTT